TTATTTACATACTCACAAAATATCGAAAATCCAAACGATTCTATGCTCTTATAAGTTTGAATAAAACTTATATGACGAGAAGGCAAGTATATTTCAGTTGATTACAAGAATTGTGTTTGGTTTTACTGATATGCTGAAAAAGTGGGCTTAAAGGAAATTTCTCAAATTTTTAGTGTATTCTTGTCCTTCATTTCATATGAAAAATTGGGTTGAATAAGTTCTTAGATTGGCCTCACCGGAAACTGAATTAAGTTTTCATTGGAGTTTTTGTGGCTATGTTGCCAATGGACTGTTAATTTTATTACAGCAGCTCTGGTAGCGTCGTACACCCACCAGGGTGTAATTATGCTTGGTTGGCCTTCCCTGTGACGAGCACCGTATGTGCGAAAATCCATGCGACAAGCATCCACTTAACCAAGAAGAATCACGCGTTAATTTTGATATTTATAAGTATTTTCTCCTCACTTCTTAGGCTTGTATTATCTAGTATCTAGTAACATGGTCTTAAGAGGGCTATATCGAGTAATAAGATCATATATTTGAGTAAAAATCCATCATGAGAAGTAGACAGAGGACCAGAGAAATAGAACAGGAAAGAAGAAGTGGTCAGGTTGTGGATTTCAGCTCAACCGGACTGTTAAGGGGAACAGAAAATGTGATTTATCAGATGATGCCTCTAGATTTCATATTCGTCAACTTCTTGGGAATCGGGAGTTGGGAGGGAGGGGCAGAGCGTAAGCAGTTCGAATGCTGTAAATTCTTCAGTCTCTCAAACTATCGGGTTCTACCGAAGCTTCAGAAACGGATAATGCGGAACAGGGGAACAAGGCCAGGGACAGGATGGTGCCTACGCTATCTGGTGGGTGGAGGAGAGACCTCTCTTTAGAGTTCTCCGAGTCATCCTGTCCTTAGAGGAGCGACAGCTCCGAGAGTTGAACTCTCAAAACGTTCTGCACAGCAGGTGACGCTATCGAAATTTAATGCTCTCAGTCTGAAGGAGGGTAGCGTACCCTACAGACAGGATAGTCTTGCCAATCATGTGAATGAAAGCTGAATGTGTTCATAATTCTATTTTTCCTTAGGATATGAAACCTAGGAACAGACTATATCTGTGAAGTTCTACATTCACCTCTAATTTGCTGTGCAAATTGGTCATGCTTCCAAAGGTCCTCTGACTACTCTAGGGAAAATGTGTAAATAGACCAAGCATCTAATGCAGGCTTGAGATGATATATCCTATACAATGCATCAAAATCACTCCTCTATGCCTCCTATTCTTAAATGATTAGGTATTACCTTTTAGCAAAGAATTGGCTACAGTAATTTTTGGGAGCAAGTAATTCACTCACTGACTTGAATTCCGATATTGATAAGATAGTGGCTTTCATTTTTATCTCATTCATACGACAGAAACTTGTTACTAGGCAGAGCCAACCGTATACTTGCCAATTTGTCACAGTATTTAAGGCCATTCAATCATGTCTCTTTACCCTACTCTCTCATCATGTTCCAAGTTTTTTTGGTTAACTTGGTTCCTGTATTCATAACGTTACATTGATTGCTTTTTAGAAAAGAGCTGTGACTTTGGCCCGATTTACGCTAAGCATAACTATGCAACTTCTCTGAAAGGTTGGACCATTTGTGTTGCTTGTTTCAGGGCTGTGCGTGACCAGCTGAACGAATAGTGATCTTGTTTCTATCGACTCTTCATTATTTGGATAATGTTTCTTGAGGGTTCAGTTCGAAAGAGGTGATCAAATAACCCATCTTGTTTTCATGGCGGTGACCATTGACAATTTTGATAGCAATAGCTGTATATTGTCATTCGATCTCATTTGTGTTGCGAAATGTACTCAACCGTCATTTATGCTACATGGTCACATCGCTTTATGAAACGTGATTTTCCACCAAAAATTTTGGAAGGACAAACCTGCAAGACCTCACCATTTTATGCCAAACGAGGAAAGTCGGTTGTGGAGGGGTAAATGAACTTGTGAACATGTTCTCCCACTATTGTTATCTCATGTTATCTTAACGCAAACCACACGCCCACTCTTTATTTTCTTTTTGTGACCAATCGCATTGAGGGTACTGACAAGCCCTCTTCTGGCCTATTTTGTTTTGAGTAAATCCTTTAAAATCCATTTTTCATATCTTTATTTCAATAGCTGCTTCAAATAGTTGCTCTTCGTTATACACTGTTTATAGATTACATTTCAGATAAAAATAGAAAACTTACATTCATCAATCTACTTCCTGGCCTCATACTATCTATTCAGGTCAACTTTTTCATTTATACTTATTCAAAGATAGCACTTTCATACAGCTAAAGATTATATAAACGGCTTAAACTCGACCTCATCAGATGTGGCTTGGTCAGGGCTTCTATTTTCCATAAGACTGATTGCCATATTACTCTCGATTTTTCTGAACCTGCATGGCTGTGGTTTATTATGTGCTAGGCATCACTATGGGATGACTTCACTTTAGGGCTATCTTAAGGGGATTTGTTTGTATTCTGTATGGAGAGAAAAATGACAACTCATGTCGTAGAAATGAAGACCAAGATGGTGTGGCCTTCTGTTTAGTCCCAGTCTCTTTTAGCTTCATAGTGGCTGCTTATTGTTTGTTAATAAGGCTTCATTTTAAGCTTATAGTTTAGTACCTCTTTTCTTACCCAGCAAAATCGTCCATTCGAGTCATGAGATCTCATACTTATATAATTCCACAGCCCCAGGAGCCTAGTTTTAAGACATTTGGGGATTTTCTGAGTTTCTTCGACCTTGAGAACTGCTTTTCTCTCGTCCAGGAGGGACTCATCAGCATAATCAGCCAGTAGTGACATCATTTTGTGAGTCTTGAAACCGACTAACGTCGATAATAATTAACCTCGTTGGCTGCTCAGCCGGCCATTTCCATTATAAATGTGATTTGGGATAGGCCTGGCTTACCCTGAATCTTACATCTTCCCTGCGACCAACTCGTACCCATGGCCGTATAGTGAAGTGATAACATCGTCACGGTACTTATGGCCCCGTATCTAATCCCGTTGGGGCTGCTGGTGAGACGGTGAGGCGAGGTTTTTTGGGAAGCAAGGCTAAATGAAAGTAGAACAAAAAATAGGGGCGAGAAGTTATACCACAACGGTTGAACAGAAAATTGGTCAAGGGGATTGTCTTAAGTTGTCACTGATAAGTTGTAAATCTATACTCACAATGGCGTCTCACTGACGATACCCGTGAAACGTTTGAGAATGTACCAAGTCAATAGTCCGATGCTGGAAATCACGAATACTATGGTAGAGGACACAAGACTAGATACGTTACACAAAGTCTCCATGACGCTCTGACTAAGTTGCGAAACAAGGTCGAACCAGCAGTATAAAGCTAAAGGAGACTGCGATTAAACAGAAGGCCACATACGCTTGGTCTTAATATATAAGGCTAAGTGAAATTTAGCGACATCCGGAGGACTACTCATCTTACTTTAGGAAAATTCAACTGTCATTCCTTAAATCACCTTAACAGACCTAGGTTGACTAAGTTTATTCAGCTTTGTTTTGACTTAAGTAATTTTCGTTTTTTAACTTCTTTCTCTCAGCTTCAATATGTGGTTACTTTTACTTGTTATGTCTGTTATATTCTCCGATAGATCATTTTGAAATTTTGAAACTACTACTTGATTAAGTACTTGGGCGCTGTGAATTATGTTAAATACCTTCTATGCTTGAATTTATTTTGTGTTTTTTTTTCAATTATTCGTCTATTTTACTATTAGTATTCTTAATTAGTAGGTTTCTCTCCTGGCCCTCTATGGCTTCAGGTATTGTTCTTTCATCTTATTTACTTTAGCGCCTATTGGCCTATGATTATGGTTAGCAAAGTAATGGTCTAGGTGTATTGACCTAGGAGTCCATTTTTCAATTCGACTAAATACTTGCTTAGGGTGAGCTGTTCATCTCTAGGTCCTTGGCTATTGTCGTACCAGAATAACTTACCTTGACCTATTTTTTCAACATTTCCACCTCACCCGGCCAGGTATATATCACACGTCGACGAGGCCGTCGCTACTTTTGCTGCTCTGGTTGCTTGTCCGCCTCACCTCATGGTATGGGTGACATCCGAAAACACATCCTTGGTGTACATGCTAAGGTTCCAGAGCGGTATAAGGCTGCTGCTATGCACTGCAGTCGGCTGAGCCGTGAGGACAATAGCTTACTACCGAACCATGTGCTGCTGCACCTTGCCAAAATGAAATGGAAAGGCACGGTGATCAAGCCACTTGCTGAGATGGATCTCTCCTGTATTGGTTCGCGACGGGCCTCAGCAGTTGGCCTCGTTCAACAAAGATCTTCAACTTCTCCTCCGTCTCCATCGTCAGGGCAAATGACTTCTGGTGGAGGAAATGGTGCAGATACTGGCGAAGATGGTAGGCCCTTAGGTTCATATAATCAGCGTCTTTAATATGTGTTCATCTACAATATCTGCTAGTCGACATATTTCTACATATAACCTTTTTACTTGCTTTTTTGTATGTCTTATTGCTTGTCTAACACAGTTCGTTTTTTCTGATAGACTTACCTTAGAACGGTTTTGAGTTTATTTCCTCCATAATCTAGTTATTGATGCATAGCTGAAGTCCTGTCTTAAACAAACCTAGCCTTTTATTTACATTTTTAACCTTAATGGAACGTGAATGAACTTCTGGTTGCTTTAAGGATGCAATTTCATCATTTTTAATACATCTAAAATCGTGAGGTGACCACTATCATGGAATTTGTCCCTTTAATCTTCCGTGTTGGGTCCAGTCAATAGTGCCATGAATAATCGAGTAGAGAAAATTGTTCAGTTTCATAGATTAAGCATTTTATTTCTCATGAGTAATTTTGCGTTGCTCTTCAAAATGGATTGCTAAAATCACACATAACTCTGTGGAAGCTCTATTTGGCTAGAGTGAACCTTAAAGAACGGAAAAAGTCTACATCCCGTAGAAAGTGAACTCAGCTACTGATCACCGCCTTAAGACTTGTTTGATGTTGTATATTGGAAAATTGGGTTTACAAGGCTCCTTCAAGTTGTTCTGAATTTTATAACTTTAACTTCATGCGACAAATTGTATGACAGGTATTTTATGTAGCCAATGGGCATTATCCTTCTAGACATTCTCATAATAATAATAATAATAATAATAATAATATAGATAATAAATAGTATTTTTGCTCCTTAATCTAGCGCGTACGTAGCAACAGTCACCGAGTCGCGTGCCATTAAATTGAGACGCATGTCCAGTAGGGCTCTTGTATTTTTCGCCCATTCTCATGTACACATTATCAGCTGTTTTGATCGATCAATTCCTCATTATGATCTAAATTAATTTTATAACCTCATTTCAGGTTCATATCTTATTCAGCCTTTTTTAAAATTTTGGTTTTTGAAACGGCTTCTCTAATAATGACCGACAGCTTAAATTGCTTGGCTTGAGGACAGTACCTCTATGACTACTGATTCGAATCTAGGTTTGTAGCGCTTAAGCCCGGCGTTGCTAACCCAAAACAGTTAAAAGAGTTAAATAGTTTGATGGAAAGATTTATTACACCATATAAAAAATCGTCAGTTTGTCGTAGAACCTTTTCAAGATCAACGCTTTTGCGCCATTAAAAAGTCGGCTACTTGGTGACATCTTTATTCTCAGTATTTCTTTAATATAAGTATAGTATTTTTTATATAATTGGTTTCCGAGATTGAGTTGTTATTAGATAAGTATATTAATTACTGCTCACTGCTTCACGATTAGGAAGTTTGCTATTAATAAGGGGTAAGTTGCTCAATTTTAGAACACTTGGATGAAGTTTTAAATAAACCAGTTTTAAAGATATCGTGTTCTCTGAATGGTTAGATGCAATCAGACGATTACTTAAATTAACAGTTTAAAAACTGACAATAGAGAAGGAATGCTTCTTCGTCACTGTAGAGTGTCTTGCCTCAACCCGTGTTTTATAAAATACCTCATCAGTAAACAGTTCAAGAATGGAAATTATTATATTAGAGCATATTTTTATTAAATTTTTCAATCGAATTTATTGCATAATCCGTCGATGACCTGCTCGAAAAAGGTAAAGGATAATGAAAATGATGATTAATTTGTGAGTGACAGTAACCGGGAAATGGACACATTGGGAAAGCAAACTTATGTTTTCCGGTTAACTCAATTCTGTTGTTATCATTTAATTGCGATGTCGAAACTTTCAATGAGTATCCTGTTAGAGGATAGGTCAATTATTGGTCTATTTTAGCCATGAAAGACAGAAAATCGACTCATTAGCAACTCATAAAATAGGTGAGCAGCCAATTCAGTTTTTATATCATAGTGAAATAAGCAATATTCGTTTGCGAGACCTATTTATTTGCCTTTTATCTTATCATGGCCACACCCTTCATCAGAGAACAGAGGTGATTTCTAAGGCTCGCTGTTCAATCTGCGCCCGTTCTCATGGCGGGCTTTGTAATCGTTTTATCTTATTTCACTTCATCATCCATCAGCCAATTTAACATTTCTTCCCAAGCACGAGTATCCACCTTTCTCCTCTTACACCCTAGGTTGCCATAGCTACATTTGTTTCCGGATTGATAGGCAATCTGAGCGATGAAAGAGCGGACATTCTGTCCTTGGCAGAGAGAATATGAATCCTCTTTAGAGTATCAAGCTCAGTCTTGTTGAAGGCTGGCTATTTGCAAATATCATCTTGATCCTATTTCTCCTTTGCGTGATGCTGATGTCTCCTTCAAAAGCTAATCCTAAGAGGATGAGCTTTTTAAGCACACAGATGCATTTCTTTAATTGTATTTATTTATGAATACCATTGGTATATGTTTTACTTAACTTGGCGAATCGTTTTAACAAACATTACTTGTATTTCAAAGGTATAAAGACCAAGATGGTGTGGCCTTTTGTGTGGTCGCAGTCTATTACCTGTATTTATCTATCACCAGGCCTAGAGACATTGCTTCTATGTGGAATGAAGAGAAATCTCGTGAGCAGGCCATATTCAATTGATCTATTTATGCGTAACTTATTATTAACATAGAAGTTGTTTGACCTTGTTTTCGCAAATTGGTCATATTGGTAGGAAGACTTAGAGGAACGCACCTAG